AGAGAGATAGATAGATAGAGAGAGAGAGAGAGAGAGAGAGAGAGAGGGAGGGAGGGAGAGAGAGAGAGAAAGAGAGAGTGAGTGAGTGAGTAATGGGTATATGAGAATGAGATTTAATGTTATTGTATTGTAATTTTTGAAACATGAATATCAACGTGGGATGTGCTTAATAAACAGTCGCTATCTCTGACGACCTGTCAGAAACTTCTGACCTACTGTTCTCTGCACATTTTGAGGCTGAAGGATCACTCCTTGTGACTCAAGCATGCATTCCGGTCCTCTTACAAGCCGTAAGCTTAGACAGCTCATGAAGCGATTGGGTAATTTACAATTCATAGATTCCACAAGGAAGCCGCGCACAGAGAAATTAAAGATAATGTAACATATGATTCGTATTTCCCCTTATTTTATTTATTTAATTTTTTGTTTTACAATTGTAAATTTAACGAGAACTTACATTTATCTTTATAAGCACACTTTTTATTAAAAAATAATTTGAGATAAAAAATTGTCATCGATGTTTGGCTATCGTGAATGTGCTAAAGTTGCCAGTTATACCATTTCCAATTGTCCCTTTTAAGGCAGACACCAAGCAATGATATTAGTATTCGGCCAAATTTTGTTATGTTCCCAAACTTTTTAATAATTCTGATAGCTGATATTAGTTGCCAGTGAATATATTTGCAAAATACCAGACGCTAATCACACACTTCCTTAAAAAATAAGAAATTCCATTCACAAAACGCTGGAAACTACGCATGTATTGTCAGAAAGAAAAAAAAAAGACAGAAAAAAAAAACAGTCCACGCACCATAGGGGTATGGCTGTTGGAAATGCACTGTACATATCCACACACACACACACAAATACTTATGTATATATATCATCATTAGCATCATCAGCCCAAATCAATCCACCGAAGGACTCTCCCAATCTTTTCCAACTTTCTCTGTCGCGTTTTTTGTTCCCAGTCTTGGCCCCAAATGTCGTTCTTTCGTCACGCCATCTTGTCCTGGTCTGGCCCTTGCCTCTTCATGGCATCCATATCCCATCTTGTCCTGGTCTGGCCCTTGCCTCTTCATGGCATCCATATCCCATCTTGTCCTGGTCTGGCCCTTGCCTCTTCATGGCATCCATATCCCAGGCTGTTACTTTCTTTGTCCATCTGTCGTCCTGTCTCCGACATATATGACTTGCCCATTGCCATTTATATATATATATATATATATATATATATATATATATATATATATATATATATATATATATATATATATATATATACATACACATATACACACACAAATCTATGTATATAATCATATGTAGATATGCGTGTGAGTCTGTGCGACGGGATATACAGACTGCATGGCGCCAGTTGATTTGTTTAGTCTTTGTTTAATTATTATTCATTGCAAATGTCAGCATAGCATTTCTCTTATTTGGCTTCAATGTTGGCCTCTTTTGAAAAGACTGGTTTTCTATCTGCTTCCTACGCCGAGCTAAAAATATCAACCAGACCCAAGGTCTCCACATCCGGGCAGAAACAACGATATTGTGATATAGATATTAACACACACATGAATAGATGTTTTCACACACACACACACACACAACACACACACACACACACACACACACACATATATGTATATGTATATATATATGTATACACATATATATATATATATATATGTATATATATATATATATATATATATATATATATATATGTATATATATATATATATATATATATATATAATATATATATATATATATATATATATATATATATATATATATATATATATAATATATTATATATATATATATATATATATATATATATATATATATATATGGAGGGATATATGTGTGCGTATGTGTGTCTATATGCACATATGTGTGCATATATATATGAATATGTATATATATATATACATACAAACACACACACACACATACACATATTTATGTATATTTATGTGTGTGTGTGTGTGTGTGTGTGTGTGTGTGTGTGTGTGTGTGTGTGTGTGTGTGTGTGTGAGAGAGAGCAGGTAGGTATAACGATAAATAGGAAGGCTCCAAAACTATGACCACCTGGATCTAAAGGATGTCTAGTCCGGCGTAAACGACCCGGAAGTGTGGGCGAAGCCCTGATTCAGGAAGGATGCTGAAAGAATTCCCATCACGGGAGTTTTGGCGCTTGAAATCATTATCTGGTGTAGAAAGGTAAATATCTATATATATTTTCCCATGATTTTTTTGAATGAATTATTATCTATATATGTAAAAGGAATACGTATTGCTTTTCCTTTGTTATCAAAATCATTCATGCTATTCTTGGAACACCATCTCAATCTCATGAAAGTGTTTATACATACAATCTATTTGCCTTTTAGTAATGATATATTAATACAAAGTTTATATTATATGAGTGGCATATAGATAACCTTGGGCAAAGCCACAAAAGCATCATCTGGTGAGAGCTGGCATC